CTCAATCTCTTTTCTGAGTTTCTTTTTCAAAACCTTCCTTCCAAAAGGCTTTCAAAAGCTATTTTTTGTCATAGCCATCAAAAACGCTATTTCATTTTAGTGTTTTTTCGCGAAGCTGAAAAATTGGAAATTAATGGTTGAACTGAAAAATTTAACAAACAGTTTTTGAATTAAACAACCAGAATCAAAAAAGTTGTATTCTCGTCACTGCTCGGCACAATATCCAATCCTTTTGATAATGCCTACGATTTCTCTAACAACTAAGTTTTGTGTTGTGCAAATTTTACCAATACATGTCCGAGGTCCTTTTTTCTGAAAAAGAGTGGTGAGATTTGGCGGTAGAAAGGCTGGTTTATTGAGGTCATGTTAGTATTTCAGAGGAGTGCAATTTAAATGAGCGCGCAGTTGTTTGTAAAAGATCAATTAATATCCGACCACCGCAAATGAACCGGATTTCTCCCTAATATTTCTGTCGATCTGTATGAACACGATTGACTGGTAAGTACTTCACGGAACGTAAAATACGTGCTAATCATCTGAATTAAGTTTCATTTTTTATAATTTATGTTAACGAAAACTCTAAAATTCGTTTACCCTATTTAATCATTTGGTTGTTCGACATTTTTTCTTGGAGGGAAAATGAACACAGTGAAAACGATAAGTCTCAGGTGCTCAATTATCGAGACACCACTGCCAGAACGCAGAAATTTCATGACAGAAAAAGTAAAAGGTGAGGTGAAACTCAATTATAATCGATTTTTATCCATGAAATTCCAGTGAAGAAAAACACGTGTAGTTTTTTAGGTTGTACACATTTCGTACGTTTAGGTCGCACACAAATTTAGACTTAGGTCCTGCGCAACTCGTGTTCACTCACCTAGACCTCCCAGAAAGAAAACCATCCCTAAAAAGAAAGAAGGGCAGTGTGTTATATTTTGCACCCAATAAACTCAATTAACTTTCGACAAAAATTTGATCTTTATACTCGACCTCAGGTTCAGTGAACCTTAGTCATCAAATAACTTTGTCTTTGGTCAAATAGAACACACATGTATTTAGAACACACTTGATCAAATAGAACACACAAGGGACGACCCCATGTAGCTTGCCGGTCGTACATGCTATGTATTAACATTGGGTATAGAGTCTAAAGTATTAATATAGGGAATACAAATGGTAACGTTTCATGGTTTGTGTGATGGTAAGAGAATGGTAAGAAAAACTAATTTTTTTTGGATTTTGTTTGGAAATGTCTAGTTTCGCAAAATTTTTGGCGCGCGTTATCTAATTGGTGAATATCAATGGTTATTTACGTGTAGTTTGTGGAATGAAGGTATTATGTTTTTTGGTACATGGTAAGTTAGTGGTAAGAGTTTTTGGGCATTTGGTATAATTCAGTTTGGTATAACTCGACCTATTAACTATTTTATCAGATATTAAACCAGTTCTAAACTAGTATATATAAACCAATTATTTTATTGATAAATTATCAATATAAAATGTTACTAACTAACCAATCAAATTCCATCTTTAACATTGACACGTATTTGTAAGTGCTGAAACTACTTGTAGTTTCAGCACCAGAACAATTTGAATAAAACTTTGAACACAGTTGTTCTCCTTCTGGATAAACTCCAAGAAATAACTCGCATAAACCAGTATACACAAGATCTATTGAGACTAGGAGATATAAGAGTAAGATAAATATCGGTTTTAGACTAAGAAGTTGCACGAATCCATCGGGCCGAAAATAAGATAGCGTGACGAGCAGACAGTGTACCTTATCTGAAATTACTCTGAGTATAACCAATAGTTCATAACTCAGATAGTCTTACTCTTTAAAACAGTGCTATCTTTGGTTGAAACTGTGTTAAAACCTACTGAAACTTCGAAAAATTGAGTTCTTGGAAAAAATGCAAAAATTTTGAGTTTTTGGAAAAAATTGCAAGAGCATCAAGTTTTTGGAAAAAATTTCAGAAATCTCAAGGTTTTGCATATGCAACAAGAAATCATATGCATAGAAAATTTTCATTTTAAAAACGATTTTGAGTCCATCCTATCGCTTGTGTCCATTACTTCCATTACTGCTATATATTAATTTTTTTTCGTTTTGGAAAAATTTGGTAAATTTTGCAAAAGTTTTAGTTTTTCTCGGAAAGTTATGATTTTTGAATGAGGGTATCAATGTTAAAGAATGCTACTCCCCTGTGGGCCTGCATACTCTCCTAGAATCTCTTTTTTCTTGACCCTTCTGTCTGCAGCCTTGTAAAAAACTGGGGGAGAGCTTTTAGTTTCTTTGAAATTAAATTTTTAATAAAGCTCTTCTGCATGAGCAGCTTTGCTCAAGTTTCTTTACATAGGAATTTATGGCTCTCGGAATAGTCACATTTTTGATCTTTTGACCGTTTTTTTTTTCAAAGTTCCTTTTTGAATTACCCTCACAAATCTGAGATCCTGGGTTCAATCGTAAAGACAGCTGGCGTGAATCCCTACTAAATAAGCGACTACGGCCTGTTTTTTCAGACAAAAGACTATGATTCTCGAAAATGTCAAATTTTTGATTTGTTGATCTTTTTTTGACTTTCTCGCTAACTATCGTGCCAAATCTAATATCATTGGTTTAATAAAAAAACAGGTTGTTGAAGTCCTACTTTTATAATTGGATATGCCCAGTTCGTTTTCAAAAAAGCTATTGCCATTAAACAAGTCAAAGTTTTGAAACTTTCACAGTTTCTTGGAAACTTATTGACTTCAAGAAACTGTTAAGCCTGCATTTGTAAAAAAAATGTTTTTTAGAAAACCTTTGACCGTTTTTCAAAAACTTTTTGACTTTTTAAATTTATCCAATCAAATCTAAGATAAAAAAATTCAGTGGAAGAACCAGTTGCGATAATTGTTTCTGCAGAAGAGGCGACTATTATTTTGTGTACAATTCTTGAAATAGCCATTTTTGTGCCGCATCATTATAGCAAAATCATTCAATATCAAACTACGTACCTCCAGCTTTAGCTGGCCCTTAGTTGTTTGTTTATCGCCTTTTTTCAACATTTCCAATATTTTTATTCGTTTGATGTTTTTTTGTTTGTGTTGTATTGCAAGTGATGCGAAGCGCCGATTCGCCTATGTCAAACTTACTCTTAATAGAGCACATTCCTTTGCTCAATCTATTTTTTTAGATAAAAAACTATATTTTTTATATAGATAAAAAACTACAACTAATAGAGCCCTTGATAAAACATATGATTCTGAATCAATAGTTCCGGGGTTTGAAAGCCGTAACCACTAAAATTTAGTTTTTAAATATTGTTTCCTGTTTTTTTTTGTTTGGGGGGGGTGTTTCAGCTCTTAGGTTCCAATTGATTTGGGTGTGCTTTGCTGAGATGAGTGTTAGCAAGACTGTATTTCGTGTTTGTTGCTTAATGGTTAATTAAATCTGAAAGTCAGCTAGAAAGAACATTGCAGTTTGATTTCCAAGTTTGTCGAAAAACAAGAAGTTGTCATCAAATAATGAGTTCCGATAAAAAACAAAAAGCAATTGAACAGAAAGTGGGCTGGTAGTGAATATTTTCTTTGTTGAACTTAAAGTTAGTTTTCACTTAATGATTGAATGTGGCGTTTATGTTGTTATTGTCTGATGTGGATGTTCTTGTTTTCAGGCCTGTGTTTTTTGAGTGTCTGAAAAATTCACGTTTTGGATTTTGAGATAGTTTTAGGTTCGTTCAAACTCAGGTAAACTAATGTCTCCAACGATAAAAGTAAAAAAGCTAATTTAGCGTTTCAAAACTTAATTAAAATGATACAACATTTGACCTTATCCGGGATTTTCTTTGGAGAAATCCAAATTGAGAGAATAATAGACACCATACCTAGTGCCTTTGTCGTCAATTACGTGGTCCAATTAACAATTACAAGATCTTGGGCGCAAGGTTAGGAATTTTTTCAGGCAACTTGAAAAGGGGCAGTTTTGCCCCGCACGGACTATAGATTCATTTGATGTTTATTGTTTGTGTTGTCTTGCAAGTGGTGCGAAACGAAATGTAAGTGGGTTCCAAAATGTAAGTGGATTCTTCTGACAAAAGTTTCGTGGATTCCGCGTACAAATACCTGTAACGTAAATTTTGTCGGCACAATTGTTTTGTTGCGGGATTCCGCAATAAGCAAATATAGCTAGTTGCTCTGGTTGCCGCAACTGAGAGGCTTCCGCAAAATGTAAGTGCAGCCCCGCAAAATGTAAGTCGAATCCGCGATTTTGAGGGGAATCCGCAAACAAAATGCGGATTCTACTTTCAATTTGTGGATTCTACTTACAATTTGCAGATTCCACTTACAATTTGCGGATTCCGCAACAATTCATTGTAACTATACACATGTCTTATTATTTGTCTGTGGATTCCACAGACTGTTCTGGATTCCGCAAATACAACTTGCGGATTCCGTGAATTCGCCTATTTTTGGAGCAATTTTGAGCGGTACAAGGTGTTAAGTATTCGTTTGTGAAAGCCAAAACAGCAAAGAAGATTAAAGAAAAGTAGC